AATTCTGGTCTTTCCGTCCCCAAATTTAAGACCTCTTGAAATCATCATTAAGACTTTATTGTACAATTTAAGTAATATTAAGTAATTAAGTAAATAACTAAATTTAAGACTTTTTAAAACCCCGCGGCAACCCTGTAATAGCCAGAAAAAGAAAACGATTTTACACACAATGCAGGGCTTTTAATTATACACAAACCCGAAATACACTATGTCTCTTATTTTAAAAAGGTCGCTTTCCTACCAGCTGCTCATTCAAAAAGATAAGGGAGATAAAATAGGCAATTATCTACAATGTATTACAATTTAAAAATTATAAAGTGTTCACGCTTGACATAAATGTGCAGCATTTATTGATTGCAAACTGTTCTGAACCCGCAAGCCTGTATAGAATGTGCATTTTCACTGAGCAGAGATTATTAATTGAATAAGAGCCTTTAAAGATTAATAATCACATTAGGCCATATCATGATTCCTGTTTTTCCATCCTAAATGATATTTAAGACATTTCTTATATCAAGTATTTGTTATATTTAAGATATTTAAGACTTTTTTCACTTCGAAACCAAGCAGAGTTTTGTTGGTCAACATGGCGAATTCACTAGACCTCACAAGAAATTCCTGATTGTGTGGATTTCTTTTGAAATGACTGGATTTGACCCACCAAAATTTGTAAATGTTTGAAAATGTTACTGTACCTTTAGTGTAGGATTTATAGAATGAGATCCCTTGGTTAAACATGATTATTTTCTCTTTCAGAAAGGAAAAGGTGGGAACTTACTGAAAGGGAATGTAAGACCGTGCTGCTTGATCTGCTCCAGCGTGTCTGGGCCACACTCACTGTTCAGCACCATAAATGGAGGAGAACAGATCCTCACATCTGCAGAGAAATATGAGAGACAGGAAGAGACAGGTGAGTCCTGCATGAGTATTATATGAATTCATGAAATTTCATCGAGGTCCATGCTGGTTTTGCACTGGTCTAGTAGGTGCACTGCCAATCTGTTCTCCATCAGAACAACAAGGAATAGAGGGAAAAAGCAAAGGTTTGTCAAATTCATCATGTGACCAAAAGTTTAAAAAAAAAAATAAATAAATAAAATCCACTACAACTGAAGAGGTCTAAAATACATGAAAAACACTATCCATTAGTATTATTATTATGTATCTTAAATGGCAGTTGATTGGCTGACGCACAAACCTAGAAGTATGTATTTTGACAAATAAAATAAAATATACAAATAAAATAAATGAAATTAAAATTGGAGAGAAATTAGAAAAAAATGAGAAATGAGAAAAAAATTTAGAAGCTAATGTTATTTTTAGATGATATGTTTTTGTTTTTGATTAAAGATAAAAAATTAAAAAAGACAAATAATGATGTGCATGGGCAAATTATTTATAATAAACATTGCAATATATATATATACACATACTGGTAAAAAATGTATAGCTTGCCTTAAATTGTAAGTCGCTTTGGATAAAAGCGTCTGCTAAATGCATAAATTATTATTCAATTATTAAATTAATTATAAAATTGTATATACACAAATACAGTATAAAGACTTATCCATTTTAATTTTATGGTAATTTATGATTACCCGCAAGTTATACCAACAAACACTAATACATCCAAGTAAACCAAGCATTAAATACCAAATATCAAAGCACTAAAATTCCCACTGATCAGTGGGGAAAAAGGGAAGCAAAAACAATTTAAAAGACATTTGAATTGTTGATTAGGCAGGACTAGTTAGGCGAGAGTAACTAGACGCATTTATGCATTTACAGAGATTATGTTATTTGGTAAAAGTACAATGGTGGCCAAAATTATTAGAACACTAGTATTTTCACCAGCTAAAAAAAGTCAGTTACCTGTAAAGCTACAGTACTGTTAAAAGTTTTAGGTACTTGTGTAAAATGCTGTCAAATGAGGATGTTGTCAATAATAATGTCATAAATAGATTTTCTTTATCAATTAACTTCTATTAACTAAATTAAATCAACATTTGGTGTGACCATCCTTTGTGTTTAAAGCAGCTTTTGCCCTCGGTGCACTTGTGCTTAGTTTTTCAGGGAGCTTTACAGGTAGGTTTCTTGAAGCATCTTGGAGACGTTGCCACAGTTCTTCTGGATTGAGTCTGTCTCAGTTTGTTCTGTTTCTTCATGTTATTCCAGACAGACTGATGATGAAGAGATCAGATCTCTGTGTGGAGCACTGGCTGTTGTCAGACAAAAATCTCACTTGATTATTACAATTAATGGCTGAATAAATGAATGTTTGGAAATGTAAACTGATATTTCCTACTGACACACTACAGCAAAAGATAGAAATAACTGACTTAAAACCATTTTTAGCAGGTGAAAATACTAGCGTTCTAATGATTTTGGCGACTGTACAGGTGCATCTCAATAAATTAGAATGTAGTGGAAAAGTTCATTTATTTCAGTAATTCAACTCAAATTGTGAAACTCGTGTATTAAATAAATTCAATGCACACAGACTGAAGTAGTTTAAGTCTTTGGTTCTTTTAATTGTGATGATTTTGGCTCACATTTAACAAAAACCCACCAATTCACTATCTCAACAAATTAGAATACTTCATAAGACCAATAAAAAATTTTTTTTTAGTGAATTGTTGGCCTTCTGGAAAGTATGTTAATTTACTGTACATGTACTCAATACTTGGTAGGGGCTCCTTTTGCATGAATTACTGCATCAGTGCGGCGTGGCATGGAGACAATCAGCCTGTGGCACTGCTGAGGTGGTATGGAAGCCCAGGTTGCTTTGATAGCGGCCTTCAGGTCATCTGCATTGTTGGGTCTGGTGTCTCTCATCTTCCTCTTGACAATACCCCAATTCTATTTTTCCAAGAGTAGAATATCCGTCTAATTATGCTACAAAATAATAGCAAAATCTGACAGGGTAGCACAATCGTCAGAACACCTGCCCAGGTCAGGGTGTGGGCTAAATAAGAGATAGGGGTTTCTGTTGCATGCCTTCGGTCAGTGAAAAATTATATTTTTAAGGACAGCCTGCATCGGGTGACAACACTACTGTACAGCAGTGTTTCTTACCTTATTCCCCAACGTGCAATCCTGCGCTGGAGAGTTTTCAAAGACACACCAAAGCGTTTTGCGATCTCCCTGCGCGAGATTCCAAGGGAGATGTGCTGCTGTAACTTGTCTCTTTGTATGTCAATGCAGTGCTGAATCTCTGAGATGTTACCCATTTGGCGAATTATATGCTCCACCTCATCAAACTTGGCCCAAACTGTGTCCTCCAAATGCCGACTGGATGCGTCCAAGTTTTCTCTAAGCTGAAGCAACATCGTCAGAGCATAGACATAGTCAACTGACACATTATTGTCGAAATAGTCAGCCAAAGAAATAATGGCATTTATGTCTGTGTGCATTGAATTTATTTAATACACGAGTTTCACAATTTGAGTTGAATTATTTAACTAATTATTTTAACTTTTTCATGACATTCTAATTTATTGAGATGCACCTGTATATGTTATCCCACACGACTCTCATTAAACAACTTGTGTAAGGTCTTCTGTCATCAGTTACCACTCTGGTTGCCTTTACTTCCCTATTTATTTTATCGAAAGGAGAACAATGGACACAAGGCACTGAGCCTGACTCACTCTGCATAATGCAGGGGCCAGTCAATAGAAGCGCAGCAATTTGACCCGTGGGTTCAAGGCTTTGTTTGAAAATACTGTACTCTCACTGTCCTGGGTATCGCTTAGATGAGCAAACAGAGCCATAGACGGAACAATAGCATCAATAGCTGTGAATGAGTAGCTATGTTTGCGAATTCCAACCGGAGAGGGGTGAACCATCAAAACAGAGATGCATACTGGGCTTAACTTGGGAATAGGCTCTTCTGACTTGGGCCAGTAAGCAACCGGCCAGAGGTCCGGTGAATGAATATTTCAGCCGGATGCCAGTCATGCTGTTATCTAGGCAGATAAGGCATGTTTTAGGAGTTTTTTTTACGTGTAGCACAGGAAATGAGTTGAAGAGTGAAGCCTCAACAGGCCGATGACACAGCGCTCTGATATGATCACGGTAAACCGCCTGTGTTGAGGTAGCAAAACTGATGATGAGATGCTTTTCAAAGCTAAAGAAAAGACTCTACATGACTCAAGGGTTTCAGTACACATTATGAAACACTTTGACATAGCTTACTTTTCAAGAAATGGCAAAATAAAACTTTTCTAAACAACTGAAAACAGTAATATTGTGAAAATGTCTTACAATTTTAAATAACCATTTCCTATTTTAATGCATTTTAAAATAGAAATTATTTTTATAAGTTATTTATTTTAGCTTGATGCCCAAGCTAAATTTGCAGCATCATTACTCCAGTCTTCAGTGTCACATGATCCTTCAAAAATCATTCTAATATGCAAATGTACATTTAGTCATTTAGCAGACGCTTTTATCCAAAACGACTTACAAACGAGGACAATGGAAGCAATCAAAATCAACAAAAGAGCAATTTAGTGCTCGAGAAACATTTATTATTATTATTATCAATGTTGAAAGCAGTTGTGCTGCTTAATATTTTTGTGGAAACCATGATACTTTTTTCAGTTGATGAATAGAAGTTTTGACAGAACAGCATTTATTTGAAATATAAATCTTTTCAATCAATCAGCAACCCTCTACATTGCGAGTAAATCACTCATATATGCGACTAAATCTTCACTCTGGGCGACTAAATGATGTCTAATATTAGCTAATGGCTAATAAATTCTCAGATTTTACTCGCCAGTGTGTGAGTTGGAGGCTAAGTATAAGTTTAGCACAGATATATTTTCACTCACCGAACACTCTCTGACTGAGCGCTTCAGAGTTTCACTCTCCATCAAGCGATCTGTGATATTTTTCAGTTCATCTGAATGGATGCGCAGCACACCTGTATTTGACGTACCGTAAACTCTAGTGTGAAGGCGCACGACTCGCCGTCGCTTTGTCTCACACACACGCAGAGAGAGAGAGAATTGACACGCTACATGTAAACGATATTCTTTGTTGTATTTTCCTGTCAAAATAACGGCATTCCTTTGGAATTCTTCAGCTTTTAAGAACTTCCGGGTTTTCCGGGAATGGGCGGAACTAATGAGCAAACGGCAATCTCATTGGCTGGCGCTCACCTATTATTGTCCCTGTTTTGATTTCAGCAAATCAGTTCGAGCGAACACACACAACCTGGTTAATATTCATGAATCCAGCAGCTCATTAATCCTTAGTGCGTTTTATATTGTTCTTATTAGTAGAATTCGTATCATTATTATCTTATCCGTATTTTTGTTAGTTTTTTCCCAATTTGTTTTTATAGAAATACTGAATGACCAAAAAAGCACCACCACCAGACAAGTTAAAATATTCAGTTAAAATGACTAATATGCATTCAAACATGGTTATCAAATTTTTATTCTAATGACTAAAGTTCTATCATTAAATAATACTTGATTATCATATTATAATGCTTGACTGACTGATGTACTCTAAGAGCGTACTTTCAGATATTTAAAAAACTGTGCCATTTTACAGTATATATATATATATATATACTGTATATATATATTAGGGCTGTGCGATATTGAAGAAAAATGCGATATGCGACACCTTGTTAAAAAATTCGATATTCGATATGCGATACGATATTGCTTAAAGTGTGTAAAATCAATTTCAATTGTATTTTAAAATATTTAAAAATGAAAATTATATAACCAATTTGTTTCACATTCTTTCTTGGAAAAGAAAGAACCACTACAACTTCTGAAAGTGACCAGTAGTGTTTTAGTATTACATAAAAAGTAATGTCACAAATCAGAAAATGTCATTTTAACATCAATGTGA